GCATGCAGTCCATTATAGCACACATCAAGTTATTAAAATCAATTATCAACAATGATTTGCATTTTAACCGCTCCGCATCACCAATTGAAAAGTCTATTACTGGTCGATCAGCATTGTATTGATACACAATTATATATTGTTCTCACCTGTCGATGTCGATGTACTCGATGTCGAAGTGCAAGACTGATGCGCTAGTTAGTAGATGTGTTCCGGGACAGTTGTTTTCATGTAGAAGTTCAGATCATCTGAAACGAAGCCAGGTTTGCGTGTGGTGCATGGATGTATGTTTTAACTGTTTTGTTCAGCTGTTTCACGGTCAGTTTCATCAGTGTCCAATCAGCTCCCAGACGAATGTTACGTACTGTTCCAATATCCTATCACAACAAGGTGAATACTGCGATCGCTACAAGAGTTCTTTTACTCAGCCAATGATTCGTTTCCCCGGAGTACAATGTGACCCATCGATTATGTGGGTCCTCTAGGACTGTTTGATTTGGTTGTCCTACCACGTGGGTAGGTAACAATAGCAATCACAGCATCAGCAAAGTTGGGAGACACAAACAGTTTATACCATAACACATTACCACCACCACACATGACATGAACATAAAAAATTGAATTACATGTATAACATTTTCTACTTATTCGTAAAGAGATCACCCGTTTAAAACAAAAAAAGACGTTGATGTGTGATGTGGAAAAACACAATGATGTGGAGGTTGTTTAATAAACATCGCGTGTTTATGTTGCCCAGCTTTATAGCACATTGTGGTTAAATCGTTCTCTCGTCACGCCGACGACCCGAGTTCGATTCCTCACCTGGGTACAATATGTGAGGCCCATTTCTGCTGTTCACCGCCATGATATTGCTGGAATAAACTAACTCAGTATAATACACTGGTATTATCTAGACCGTGTTCTTATGTTATACTGGAACCAGTTCACTGACAAATACGTAAACTCTTAGCATCGCTGGGCTTATTCAATGGCATTGCGTGAAACGATGAAAAATCGCTGACTGGATCTTACATATGCAGCCCTTATGACGCCATCAATCCAGCTGCTAGCTTGACATTACAGGGATAGGTTACACAGTATTTCAATATTGATTGATTCATAGAGTTTAATTTTACGCCGCACTAAATATTAGAAATATTCCAGCTATATGGCGGCGGTCTGAAAATAATCGAGTCTGGAACAAACAATCCAGTGATCAACAGCATGAGCATCGATCTACGCAATTGGAAAACGATGACATGTGTCAACCAAATCAGCGAGCCTGACCACCCGATCCCTTTAGTCGCCTCTTACAAGCATGGGTTACCGAAGATCAATTCTAACCCGGATCGTCACTGGTCAGTATTTCAATACCTTTCCAACATGCAGTTACGCGAACAATACAAATGTTTGAAGTTAGATCATAAGATATGAAATAAGTGGTGTGTGGTCGATGCTCAGATAATGATTCTCGTCAGTTGTGTGTTCTGATGATACCGAATTGACTGCCGATGGAGGCTATATTCAATACCGAAATTACCAAATTACGGCGTTACCAAATGGAACAATCTAACGTCTTATTGACGCTATCACAAAACACGTCTGCGTGTTCACTTTAGGGACTTGCGTTGTTTCGTGTTTTCATCGGCATACATCCATCTCTTTATTCATCACTGTACCCATCGCTGTATCACAGTTCTACGTGATTCGTGTTTCTTCTCGAACTGAGTACATATTCATCAACTCCAATCTCCACTCATCATGAACCCTTTTAGGACAGTACCCCTTTCCCACAATTATACCAAAGGTATAACTCTATAACCCGATATTGATTGAGTGAGCATTGTGTTACGTATGTTATGAAAGCAATAGTTTAGGAATTTCATGGATGACTACACCTGAAATAGGCTTCAGTCCTGGACGTTTCCCAATATGAAGTAAAACCTTTACCTACAAAACCCGGCCGACATGGGCAGTCACAACATCGACCATCGACATAGACCGTTCTGGCACACGTTTACCAGTAGATACGTTTTCGACCGTTTTAACACACGAACCTGACTGCCTTTACCTTCATCTTCTCTCCTCAATTTTTGCCTTCCATCATACCACTGATCCACCAGCTGCGCTATAATCAGCATCATCTATTGTCCACAGCAGATGAAATTCAAAGTTATCTTATCGTTTGTAACGTCAATAAAAAGCAGTTAATGCTGTACGCGGTACATCAACAAACATTTCCTGCTGCAAAAAGGACAAGTGGAGGGAAACTGCTTTTTCTATCATCTGAAATTCAGCGAGCCTGCCATATAACTTGCAAAAGTATTATTTTCGGCGTTGACGTTTCACAGAATGAAGTCATACCTTGTATTGTGAGGCAAAAGATACGACACCGGGTGCAAAATGGCGCCAAAGTTCGTCCTCTGTTGTCCCTGAAATTAAAGTTCTTTGTATTAATCGATTACTGTTATGTATTTTGCCCCAACGTTTAGATGCTTTAACTCTGTAGTGACAACAACACTGCACTTTGTAACCAGTAAACAAACGTATCATCATTTCAAAATAGCAATGATAGGAACTGCTTTTCCATGAATATTAGCCCCCGTGGCGCAGGCAACGTTCATATCAGTTGTTACAGAAAGAGGTTCTCACATGGTTCAAATCCCTCATTGAAGACTCAGAATAGTGAGTTTACAAATTCAAGGTAGAATGTAAATGTAGCCCAGAATTCCTTGATATGTAGTTTTAACGAAATGAGCAAAACGTTCTGAAAAACAAATCAGCAAGTGATGATGGTGTTCATTAAGGCCTGTATATGATACAATTAATCTTACCATGCTCTTAAGCGTCAACGGAAACATAATTAAACAGGCCTTTGTCGTGAATTGTGGAGAACATGTAATACTGTAACACAGAGAGATATTCAAATTACCTGCATTAGGAATATTAATTAATACACCGCTACAAATGAAAAGGCATTTGATGAACCGGATACCCAAATTGCATCCCTAATGTCCCTCTCTGAAGATGTCAGCATCCGCAAATTACAAAGTCACCGGACACTTTTCATGACAGAGATGACTTTTCACAAATAACCCAATACATTGGCTATTAAATTCCATCCTTGCAGCACCCACCACATTAATAGAATCATTATGAATGATTCCATTTATCAGTTAATTACCCTCAACCGAGAAAATGCAGCAGGTCAGGAGTAATCCAGACGCTGCCGACAGGTTTTTTTATTTGAATTACTTTGTGTTTGTCTCCATGGTACAAAACGTGTATCAGATAAGTCAGTAAGTGTTAACGACGTGGTTACTTTCTTTGTGTTACTATCACATTTGCATCGGATTCTTCTGAACAGTCTATTTACTTGTGGTGCCCTGTTATAGGTTCATGATGATGTTTACTTAAAGACTCTTCATGAAACATAACCTCTGGACCTTTATACAACAGCATTAGGCTCTTGTTTCCATGTCTCTGTAGGATTCACGTCAAGAGGAGAATGTTTTGTACCACACCTTTCAATTTTAGCGCAACAAAGAACTATAACATATAAACGCTGACACCAAAGAAGAGGCATCGATTATCCACCGAAATTAGCAGTGAACGGATTACTGAAGTATGAATACATCGAGTATCAAATGAATCATGGTAAATATGCTCCGTTCGTACGGAAAGCCAAAAACCAATATAACAACATCCCAGTAACCATGCAACACACAAATGAAACTCTTGTCAGTACATAAAGGCGACAATACCTTTTCCTCGGTTATAAGAGTGAATCAGTGAGTGAGTATGGTTTTACGACGCTTTTAGCAATATTCCAGTAATATCACGGCGGGGGACGCCAGAAATGGGCTGCACATATTGTACCCATGTGGGGAATGGTACCCGGGTCTTCGGCGTGACGAGCCAACGCTTTACCCACTAGGCTACCCCACCGCCCCCACGGTTATAGAAATCTCTGCTAAAAGGAGAGTCTGTTGTACAATTCCGACTATAATTATCCTGAGCATGTGTTTATAGAATCACTATCAATAGTTATTGTATCGGGTTATTGTATCAAGCCCCACCGGTAGCACCCGTCATAAACATATGCAAAGGTTAGGACAGCAAATTGATGTCTACGTTGACATATGTCAGCGTTATTATTATAGTTCTGGGGTGGCCTAGTGGTTAAAGCGTTCGCACGTCACGCCAAAGACCCGAATTCTACTCCCCACATGGGTACAATATATGAAACCCATTTCTGCTGTCCCCCGCCATAATATTGTTGGAATATTGCCAATAGCGGCGTAAAACTAAATTCACTCGCTCTAAATCAGACGCAAACGTATTAGCGATTGTTGGCCGTTCATGAGTGTTTTTGTTGTCCTAAATATTTGTATCTCATTTCAGTGCTTGCTCTCATTTCAGATGGAAAGTACTTGATCCTTCATAAATAAAAAGTGTTCAACAATTCTATTTGGTAATAGTCGGAATCGTACAATGAACTCATAATTGGACATCTTCCTGTAAGTGTGATATGGACAAAATCGTTTAAATATGTGTGTGTGTGTGTGTGTGTGTGTGTGTGTGTGTGAATTTATAAGTGTATTCATTATATACCAGTCACCAATATGTGGATTTAACATATCGTGTTATTTTTAAGAACTGAAAACAATTATCGAAAATGAAAACGGAATAACTAACCACAGTTTGAGGTCAATAAGCACACAGGTCACAAGGCTCACCTTGCGAAGCCTGAGTAATGATTAAGTCCCAATATGAATACATCATTCTGTAGGCTTGCACTGAACTCCAAAGGCCATGAGTAATGGATATTTAGTATGTGATACCGAAGAAGGTCTGTTATATATGGTACATTAGTGCATATTATCTTTGCTGATTGAAGCAGCATACCGTGTATGTGTTCCTACAATTAGACCTGTTGATGGGTTAATGATTACATATCAGTCAGTGAATAACAACCCGGACAATAAATATGGAATGATCAATCTAATTTTATTTATTAATGTAGGAAGTACATATTTGGAGATTGAAAGCATTATTTGTTTTAAATACGAGTGAACAAAGAGAACTGTTAGTGACCAGACATTGATGGACATAGTTAAACAATTGTCCGTATACGGTTTTCTAGTCTAATGAAAGGTTGTTCAACACACGACATGAGGATCAAGGCCACTGCTGTTGCCGTCACCAGGATGGGCACATAGAACAGCCACTGGAAAGAACAAAAGCAGGAACTTACAGTCTGAAGCCTTGCTTTCTGAACACATTTGGGCGGAGGTGTATCCTGGTGGTTAGGGCATAAGCTCGTCAAGTTTCCCATATTGATAAATGGATGAAGCCTATTTCTGGTGTTCACCGCTGTGATATTGATGTAATATTGCTAAAAGCGGCAAAAACCATAATCACTCAAACTAAATACATTTACTCATTTATGATATAATTTCTGCTGGAATGCATGTCAATAGCAAATGTCTAAACATTGTTATGTCTTCAAGAGAAACAGTCACACAAATGTCTACATTGGAAGCCACAAACAGTTGCAAGAACTTACAAGACAGGTTATCTTTTGAGTGACTTACAATCGACAACAAGCAAATGAGGGCTGCCCCATTTAGAAAATATTCCGGGTTCCATCGATAAAAAACTACGTCTTATGCATTGTCCTTCAACGAAACGTACCAAATTCAGGGATGAGAGAAACAGAAGGTTACGGGTTGCACCAAGCACCACCACGATGACAAGAGGATGGAGAAGATAAATTCCATAAGTGATCCGACACAGGGGAAGAAAGAAGTTCCAAGACAGGAACGTATTGATATACCCTGAAATAATATGATAAAAAGGACAGGATTACAAATGACACCAAAGATTAATCGGACGTTGCAATCACTTGTTATTGGAATTCTCATAACAGCCAAACGGGTGCAACAATTGTAGGAAAGATGCCTTTTTGTGAATCATTAGATCCCTTGCCTCCTCTGATGGAATTCCTTTGCAACAGGAGAAACGTACAGCATGTGTGTGACAGGAGGTTGCTTGTTAAGCATTTAATCTTCCGAAAAAATGAACATTTGCATTGAGCCAAAAGGGCCTTCATCCTCACTCGTCCTTTAAAGCATGTGTATTTAAATGTCACAACCGTACCTCCTTGTCCAATGCTACAGGCAAATATTACCCAGGCGACAGCAAGACCCCATGCAGGGCGGGCTAGTGCCTCGTACAGGGCTGTCTGTCTGGCAGTCCACTCACTACCCCCTGCTCGGTTTTCCAGGTACGTCACATACACCACGAAGGTCATCATGCACATCGACGTCAACCACCCAAGTAGAAGTGGCATCTGGAACAGATTACATACTATTCAAAAGTATTATTCAACATCACATCACAGAGCAAAACCTCTTCCATGAGTAAAAGAATTCGGTTACCTGAACAAGAACATTTACAACACAACACGTACAAAGATTTCATTTCTCGTCCTCGCAAAATATGTCTGGCATACCGCTGCATTTAAGAAAGGTAAACAGAGGTGTCTTTGAGACGGGTAAACAGAAGAGTCTTTGAGATGGGTAAATAGAAGAGTCAAGTCAAGTCAAGTCAAAAGGAGTTTATTTGTAACGAGGCCAAGGTCCCATATACAAGATATAACTATACATAGTTAACCAGAGCATACAAATGAAGTCTAAAGTGTTTCTAAATACATAGTTCTTTTTATATATGCATGGTAAATGTAGTACTGTACACGTTTGATTAGATTCTCCTGAGATGTACATGACAGACTATTAAATTTATGGATAGAAGGGAATTTCCAAAAGTCTTTGAGACGGGTAAACAGAAGAGGCTTTGAGACGGATAAACAGAAGTGTCTAAGAAGGTGAAACACTTGAGAGAAAAGAAAACGTCACATGCAAACTGAAATATAAATGAGATTTGTAGCAATTGTGTAGACTATAACTGTACCATTCCCTTTGGACGTGTCACATCACTTCTAAATATACAGAGGAGATGGTGTAAGCATGTACATGTTCATTGTTTTTACCTTTCTAAGGTACATCCGTCTTCCAAAATTGTTTAAGATATACCCCAGCATCATCCCAATGGCAAATACTCCCACCCGGCAGTAGGGCTTGACGTAAACGTCGGAGAAGTAGCCATGGTCCATCCTGAAATTAAGTGGGACATTGTGTCAGGGAATGAATACAAACGTAGCTTGTAATATTACATATATCCGGGAAAAGGACTCAACCATTCCGAACTTGAATCTAATCACAATACAGTGATATCTGTGCTATTCACATTAAAAAGGCATTATAACATTTGATTTCAGATGCAGTAGCCTCTTGAGGTATGTGTTGTGACGAACATTGGGACAGTGTTTAGAAACACAGTCCATCCGAAGCATTGTGTTCTTCTGTAAACTGAAATATTTGCCATCCGTCAGGATGGTTCTATGTAAGCTGCAAGTAATCCTGACAATAACCCTCATTTCTTTATATTCAGGATGTGCTTACCTTAGCATGTTTCCGTTGATCTTGTTATTCAGAATTCCAACAGATACAACCTGAGTGACAACGAGGAGACCGAGAAGGGTGAAACCAAGGGGAGGTAATCTGAAAAAAGACAGAAGGTGGTATGAACTGGCTTCATACGAACATTCATCAATTTCCAAACGATAGCTTGGAACTGTTTGTGATCGCAAAACATTGCTAAAATGTTGACAGGGAAACCCTTATGGCATAAAATTGGTCCTATTTCTGTTCACCGTTATTCGTCTCTTTTTCGTTCACAAAGCAATTATACCACATTTTAACTACAGACAAATATGTATCTGAGGAAATTAATAATTTAATTGGTTAGCGGGAAAAATGTTTTCAAGAATTTATCATGGCGTACATATATGCCCTATATAATACCATAAACTACGTTTGTCACAATACCCGCTTATACAGAACTAGAGGATATAACGAACAAGTAGATTTAAAGAACTGTTATAGTTATATTCGGTCCCGAATCCTTGCTGTATATGATGGTCGAAATGCTTTAACAAACTATGATTGTAACATTAGCAGTCCCTTTGAGTTCGTTATGACCGTAGTTTACTGTGAGAACATGTTTTGTTCTTTTGTGTTTACCTACACAAAGTTTAAGTTTGCAAATAAGGTTATGTACGTGTCAAACAATTGTCCTTCTTTCCACACAGTGTTATAAATTCAGCATAACAAATACCATGAACATCGACGAGCCATAAAGAAAGGGAGGTAACTGAAGGTCTTACCTGACAAGAGGTATCAGTATGAATGGGGAGATGAGATAGAACTGGAAGTCGTTGACCAAGTAGTATGTCCAGGTCATACACTACAACAAGAAAAAGGAGAGTTGAACACACCGAAACGATCTATCCTAATTTGTAGTTGAAGGATCTACAAAAAAAACAGTTAAGGATCTATAAAATCGACTAACAAACAGACAAACAAATATAAAAGGCACTTGAAACAGATCAGACGTAAGTGGTGAGGAAAGACAGCAAGATATGCGGCCACATCATTCTCTCACCATTTCATCTGCCTTGTAGAAGTTGCTGAAGAAGAAGACGTTAGCCCACCAGTGGTCCTTGCACTGGTTGATGGCGGTAGTGACATACTTCCAGCGAGGTCCGTCCCCCATGTAGGGCAGTATGTTGGTGAAGATCATCACTACAACCAGGTAACACGGCCATATTCTAAACAAGATGATCATCTTTGATGAACAAAAATGTAAGAGTCCAAATCTTTCTTCAACTCTGTTTATATTATGTTTTGCACATTTCACTACCATTACAAAAATGACTCTCTAAAATATGTGTCCTAATTCCATACATACTTAACAAAAGAAAGTTAGGGATCACTCATATTTTGGGGGATATGTTTTGCAGGAATGACCTAGCACACACACACACACACACACACACACACACACACACACACACACACACACACACACACACACACACACACACACATAAAAACATTCTTAAAGTATTCATGATCCGTAACGTTTTTGATTATTGTATTTCAAATTAAAATGCAAGAACTGACTGACCAGAAAGCAAAATATACATTTCAACAATATTAATGTGTAAGTCAACGGAAACATGAAGAACTGTTAAATAGAAATGGTACATCATACGCCTTGATGATGAACAACTGACATCACATAATAAGGTGAGGTGAGGTGCAATTGGGTTTAACGTCGTGCTTGAGAATATTTCTCTCATATGACGACGTGCATGTATGTGTATGTGCGGCTGCTTGTACTAGCCCAGACTGAAGCTGGTTTTATAGTGCTAGCCCACTGAGTTACCATGCCGCAGTGAAGCATGAATACCCCACTCAGACACATTATACTGACTCCGAGCCGACCAGTCCTTGTTGTACCCATTAATGCAGAGCGCCAGGCAGGGACCAACAAGTACCATATTTTAACGTCTTTTGGTATGACGCGGTCGGGGATCGAACCCGCGACCTTCCGCTCTCCACACCACATAATGACGGAAGCTTCCATAATCATATAACATGGTGTTTCTTGTACGTGGCGACAAACAAATGACGTTTCCATATACTTTAGAATAGTTCCATATGATCAACGATTGTGAAAGCAATTCATCACTTTACCTCCTCTATTACGCGGAGCAAGAGATCACACATATTATAACCATACTGCTGAAAGAATTTCTGTCATTACCTGATAATACGATGAAGATAGAAGAGAAAGATGAACTTTGGTGTGACGGTGAATTTCTTTCCTGCAGCAGTCTTCCTTTCAATTCCCCTTAGGAAGGTGTAGGACAGCAATGTGCCGCTATAAGATCAATTACAAATCGTGTTAGGGTGTGTCGTTTAAATTGGACAAGACGTGACAATTTTTTATTTAAAACTAAATTTAAACGAGGAATCTACGCTGACTTTAACATACAATCTTCGCAAGTTCAGATGTCAAGATGTTATATTTATTAGTTTTTCCAAAAATAATGTTTACATTTGCAGTAAATTGTGAAGGTTTGAAGGTTTCAACTTCCACCAACGGTGGTACATGAGTGGAGTGGAAAACAACTTATATACATATATACACCAAGATGGCATTGGAGAGATATAATTGAGACAGGATAATGTACAATACAATATGCATACATATTCATATATACAAGGGTGCCATTAGAGAATGATACAAACATTTAATTACATGTATTTATATCTAAACTTCTATTGAAACATTTAATAAATTTTGACAAATCTTTAACATATTTAGCTTTCTTTGAACAAAGTAATCTTTTAAGTGTATAAAGTTTGGGCCAGGTATTGAGGTACTGAGATATGAATGCCTTCGCTTAGTAATTTATATGGCATTTCATGAACACGAATTGTTGTACCATCACCTGAGTATAAAGAAAGTGTCGGCAGCGAAGGTACAGTTGATAATGGCTTGAAACCAGAAACTCTGTGCTAATTCCACACCAGTTACACTGTTTTCTGAAGAGAAAGAAGCTATTTTATTTATACTTCCTTATGGTATGTGACTCTTGGTTAAGGGCCAATTGCCAATAAATGCGGCATTAAAAAGTTATGATGATTTGTGAACTAACTGATGTTCTTGTGGTTCCAAAAATAGTCCAATTAAGTTTGAGCCATATTTAGATCTCTACCTATGGTACCATATTAAACAAATCATCACAGATTATACCAATGAAACCGCATCAAAGTATCTGAGACGTATAGAAACATCTGAATATTTAATAAATAAATAATCTTGCTAGTAAAATAATCTGCACTGATTTCAAACATAGCATCTTTTCTAAACTTTTCACTAAACACGGGGCGGTGGGATAGTCTAGTGATTAAAGCGTTCGCTCCTCACGCCGAAGACCCGGGTTCGATTCCCCGTATGGGTACAATGTGTGAAGCCAATTTCTGGTGTCCCCTGTCGTGATATTGCTGGAATATTGCTAAAAGCGTCGTCAAACCTTACTGACCCACCCACTTTCGAATCCTTACCAACACTGTCAGGAGCTTTATGGATGAAGCTGAGGCAGTTGCCCATGACAATCCAGGAGATGGAGAGGAAGCGAACTCCACTGAGACAGAACAAAAGGTTCGTGTTTCCTTCTCCTAGCACCGAGGTGACGTTGGTGGGGAAGGAGAAGCACAGGATCATATCCGTGATCACACCACCTGAACCAAAAACGTGTACTTCAGTGTTGGATGATCATAATATGAATGCGATATAAGTGAGATTCGGAAGAAAGACACTGGGGTTTAACATCGTCATTGATGAGACTCACCTAATTTCCGCGTGCCTGTTTTAAACTGGGCTTCTTCGATCTGTATATTTTGCTTATGCTCCAGGCGTTCCATCCTGACTGACGGAGAAGTTACTGGCAGTTCGTTGACATGCTGCAATTGAATATTATAAATCAAATACTATGTATGTCTCTAAGGTTTTGTCATTTATGCTTAGTCCACAATTTAAGAATGTGTTTCAGGTAGATCGAAGCTCGTGCTGTTGATCATTGGATAGTCTGGCCCAGACTCGACTACTTACAGACCGCCGGAATATAGCCGGAATATTTCTGAGTGTGGCGTTAAACAGCAAACAAATCAAACTATTTTAGGTTGTTTCGTTATGTGTGGTACTGGCCACTGATTGTTGATGGGATTTGATGAATAATGTTTTCTTAATACCATAAATGACAAGGTTTAAGGAGGTCAGTGGTTAAAATGCAATCTTTCCGTACTTTGTTCTTACTGTAATGGCCAGTAACTTTGGTTTTATTTGGGCAAATTCCTTGTGAACGTACCTGACGTGAACGGCCCTCTTCCCTCATGGCCATGTGTGTCGCCTCCCGATCTCCTTCTGTGAGGCATGTTTCGATCACGTTAGCGGACCTTTCTCCAACCTCAACGACGTCAGGTTGATCCGCAGAGTAAGGCGAGTCTGAAGACACACTATCAAGGCGATAGTGATTGCTTTCCCGTTTTGAGCGGGTGCTACCCCAGCGTGAGAAGTGCATGCTGTTGCGACGTGCAGTGGAGAAGATGCTTCCCCGACTGCTGAAGAATCCAACGAGGGTCGTTGTCTCAACCTCTCCCTTTGGAGTTGTCAGCTTTACAATGACAGTCACCATGCTTCCGAAGAAAACTAAAGATGCAATTAAACCCAGGACGCATCTGAAATGACGACAATGGGGGGTATTTCATTATGATCTTTCGTTAGTCGTTGAATGGATAAATCATATCAGGGCGTGTCTGCTTAAGACGAAAGCTCAAAGTGATGTTTTCCATGTTGTTGAGACACAGGAACTCGAATGAAGTGCTTACAAATCCCGGGCGAATTAGAATCTAAGGGTGTGGGCCCTGTGTAATATTGTGTTATTGAATAATGTCCTGGCACTTTCAAATGATGTAATGTAATCTGTGATAATATAAATGTCGTGCTGTTCTTTTATAAAGTATAGTATGAGACAGGAGGCGGCTTGGTTATTATTGTTTCTAAAAACAAACGAAGGAGTTTAGAAAACTTAAGGCTGAATATGATTGATAGAGGAACTGTGACTGTCTGTAAGGAGACAATTAGAACTGAGCTGCATGCAATGGGTTGGCAGAAAAGTCGAGGAATTCCAGCACCGATCATGAAACCTGAACAAAAGGAGCGAAGGTTGAACTGGTGCTTACAGCATAGAAATTTTTACTGGGACAATGTGATTTCCTCAAATGAAAGTTCTGTGTGGCTGTTACCTAATACACTGAAATTCTGGACCAAACAAGCTGAAAAACCTTTGTATCAGCGCCCAAAGTACAGTCCGAAATTTAACGTGTGAGGTGGCATATCTGTGTTAGGGCAACGCCCCTCTGTGTATTTGAAGGGAATATGAACAGTGAGCGGTACACAGATATTCTCGAGGGACATTTACTTCCATCTGCTCACGTGTTCTATGGAAATTTTTTTGATCTTCCAGCAGGACAACGACCCAAAACATCGTTCAAAGCATTCACAGGCCTGGTTTCGGACCCAAAATATGACATTATTAGATTGGCCAGGCTATAGCCCTGACCTAAATCCAATAGAAAATGTTTGGGGACTTATGAAGGAAAGTGTCAATAAGAATAATCTGACAAATATTTCTGAAATGAAAGAAGAGGTGGTCCGATATTGGGTCAGTAGTATGCCCCGCCGCAATGAAGCCTGCATTGCTACCCATGGTGACTGGACAACTGTTCACCTGTATTTGAATCTGGAGTTATGTTCTGCTAATATTCACATTTAATACGTGAGTAAGGAGTGAAAAATAAAATAAAATTACAATCTTAAATTCTCAATAATTTCTGGTTTTACTGTATATATATTAATGTATATTCTTAACGTATGACTTTTTCAGCAAGCTATCACAGCGAAGTGTGACGTCTTACGCGGTTATGTCACCAGTGCCCCTTTAAAGAAGATGCATTTGTCTATGAATTGTGAAAAATTGACCTTGCCTTTGAATGTGTTTGTAACGAGTGCCCCGTGTTGGGCGGGATACGTTCACCTGTTATACACTCACAATATACTCACACAGAGAATATGGCCGCGGCGTCGTCAACAAGTCGCAAGTCCTCGTGACACGTGATGCTGACCAAACTTATCTTAGTTTCTGACTGGTTCTTATCTGAAACAAAATATTAAAAAAATATATACTATTACTCGCAGCTTGCAATGTATCCAACTGTGAAATTCCGTTTGTAGCCTCCACTCAGAATTTCTGTTCCGATCGTCTTGAAATGATAATAGAGACTATCTAATGTGTAATGTATCCATGGTTCGATAACCACGAACTTGAATATGAGGACAGCACCTCCACAAACAATTCCATTCCATTTGTCAGCTGCCAAAGAAGTAGCCTGCCAAAATGTATAAAATAGAAACACCTGTAAATACCTACATGTGTTGATGATGGTGGTGAGATCATCCTCCACACAGCCAGGAGGGATGCAGATGTCCACAGTCAGGTGCGGCAGGTGCATGGGGAACGGCAGGTGCTGCAGGAGACAACGCCATGATGGAAAATGTCATCATATATTATGAATGCACTGGTAACTTGCCATTGTATTACGATAGGGATCGTAACTATGAATCATGATCATATATGAATGTTGATCCTCTTACTTTTTGCCAAGTGTAGGAATTTGCGTCATAATTACATCATAACTATATTCATAGTTATAATCTCACTCACTCATTCATTCATTCACCGTGTGTGTCAGGCTATTTACGATATCATTCTATTTATTACGACGAGTATATTGTTATCTGGCGTTTGTTAGCTTTGGTTAAAGTGTTCGCCCGTACACTGTATGAAGATAAATAGGCACTATCGCCGTGACATATTGGTTGAAACGGCGTAATATCATAAGCAATATGAGAACGCTGTTTCAAAATTGCAAATAATAAAATGTTCACTCTAACATTTGCAATTGTTATACATATATATCATATCATATTATGTGAAGTGGGCGTGTGTGTCGCCTTTTATCCCACTTGTTGCATTAGCCAAGGTAATATCACGGTAGGGAAGGAACACGAGGAATTTGCAATGCACAAGTAATCACCTGATCAGCTATATAGTCCTCCAGCCATCCTGGGATATCAAATGTAGCCGAGCAGTACTGTGCCTGTATTTCCTTCATGACGTCACTTCCTGTGTCATGTGATGGCAATGAGTGTCGAACGTTTACACATTGGTCGTAGTTTCCATGCCACGTGACTGATCCCTTGATTAGCCCAGGACCTTGTTTACCAGTCGCATCATACACTACAAGTTAGAGGTAAATATGAACAAACATTTATGCATGGATTACTGAAAATGACACCAGGTGTCCGTTAAAAGGCCAGAATAGACCAATTACAGTTCACAATTGGGAATTCGTCGGGCTATTACAGGTTCCCGTGTCGAACGTGCAGCTTTCAACACTACGTAATGTCTGCAATGGAATTTGAAAGTCGACGAGGGCGATTTACGATTTACGATTGCTCGGAGCATATCTGTCAAATAATGGGCAAGGACAGCATTACTGCATATATGACAAATACCGCTGACCTACATAGTATTTTAAGAAACGATTCCTAATTTCTCAGAGCACAGGCATTCATATCTTTCTAAACAAACATCAGAGTAAGCATACAGCAGTCAGTCACGCCATGCAATTTAAAAGCGTTAATTTAAACATGTAAAGTGTCACTCGCGTTAAAGACAACATGACCTGACCGTGTACAACCTTCGTCCTCCACAGGCACAGAACACTTTCAGTCCTGCGATAAACAGTAGTGTCGATTCTTTGTAGGTAAGGGTCACTGTGATATATTATATATATATTCTTGGAAGGGATGAAAGAAAGTTTAACTAATTGCATTCAAAACGTGTACTAACGTTTGTCTGTTCATTTCAACAATGTGATGGCATCAGCATCAGCATCAGCATCAGTGGCATCAGACACTTAATATTAGGGCACATTACTGACTGACTGAGTTTGGTTTTACGCCGCTTTTAGCAATATTCCAGCAATATCACGGCGGGGGACACCAGAAATGGGCTTCACACATTGTACCCATGTGGGGATTCGAACCCGGGTCTTCGGCGTGACGAGCCAACGCTTTAACCACTAGGCTACCCCACCGCCCCTTAGGCCACAATAGGTTTACTTGGTAAGAAGTAGCGTGTTTGTAGCGTGTTTGCTCAGATTCAGTCCGCTTGCAATAACGATCTTGTTACCATTTGGGCAAGGTATGTACCAAGACTACTAATGTAATCGATCGGAACTGCAAATCATAACTGGAGATTATCCTAAAATGTATAGCGCCAAGACAGAGCAAATCTGTAGATTACATGATAAAAAACCTAAAAAATAATCTCTTACCACAAGAACCCTTATGCAAGAAATACGAATAAACCTCGTTAACTCAACTTGTTTTCACACTACATATCGATTTAGATGACATTTCCTTATGATCTCTACGGAATCAATGTCTCATATATAGTAAAATAATGCTATTGCGATTATTTTTAGTTTACAAGATTTTGTAGAAACAAAATATGTGATGTCACAAACGTTAAGCTGAAGAGATACTGCACGGGCTCACTATTAACATCCGTACCATACCACTTACTGTTAATGGCCCATTCCTTCCTGCGTTGAAGGTCCACGGCGTAGTGGTAAAGTTCTACCTTACAGTCGTCACTGACGTTGTAGCTGTAGATGTCTCTACCGGCCTGGATGATTCCCGCCCATACAGGAGGGAAGAAGAGAGGTAAAATCCCAAACTGACCCGACCTTGAACTGGTCCTCCCTGTGAGGTCATCATGGTGATGACCTTTCTCCGTGGGGTCAAGGTCAATGTGACCTGTGACTGTTGTCCTGCTTGTTGTACGCCTCTGTGACAGGACAGTACCCATGAACATATCATCCAGAGAGGTCTCGCTGGTCGCATCGAAAGACGCCGTCTCAGTTGACGACGGTCTCGTCACCTCCGTTGAGTGACATGACGTAGACCTAATCAGTAACATCCACACTAACATTCTGTTCATGATGACGTTTAATCACGTTCACACAACCTTCAGAATACAACACGTCTTAACCCAACAGATGAGATGAGAAACTCTATTGCATGACGCAGCTACTCTGAAAGACAAAGCAAACAGCTATATCCACTTTGCGGTCACATTCCACAGCCTTCCATATCAAATAATTTTATCAATGTCTACTTATACACCAGCATAAACTGAGTCACAACATAGAAGGTTCGTTCTTCGCTGTGCACCAACTACCTTGGAATGTACGTTACGGCATAGCAACATTGTCACCACGCACATGTGCACATGTGATAGGACAATATGCATGCATATCTCAAGCAAGAAATGTAGACTTGCACAACGCAATACAACTTAAAAAGTATTGATCTATTAGCCGTCCTGGACCCCGTTTCACAAAGCTATCGTAGCGCTACGACTGTCGTAAGTGTATGCTACAATATAGGACGTACGATTGCTACGAGAAAAGTTACGAGATCTTAGGCTTACGTGTGAAACGGGGCCCTGGAAATACACACATAGGAAGTTAAGATAGCCCTGTGGTCGTAGGGTTCGGATCCCTGTTAATTGTTTTGGTGTTGTTTGTGTGCACCAGTGTTCGTTCTTTTCTCCAAAGCTGTGCAGTCGATGCATGTGCTACAGCAATACTACTGACACTGACATTTAAATTCATTTCCTTGTTGCTTCAGGAAGCATTTACCTTCATTATGAAGGTCGTTGATTTCATGCTTTACCTGTGTATATGTAAATATGGTGACCGCAACACGTATACCTGTTTATTATATGTATCAATGTCAATGTGCATACCTGTATAATAGACCGCCTCCGTGGTGTAGTGTTTAGAGCGTCCGCCCGGAGAGCGGAAGGTCGCGGGTTCGATCCCCGACCGCGTCATACCAAAAGACGTTAAAATATGGTACTTGTTGGTCCCTGTCTAGCGCTCGGCATTAATGGGTACTGAGTGGGGTATTCATGCTTCACTGCTGCATGGTATCTCAGTGGGCTAGCACTATAAAACCAGCTTAAGTCTGGGCTAGTACAAGCAGCCGCACATACACATACACATGCATGCACGTCGTCATATGAGAGAAATATTCTCAAGCACGACGTAAAACCCAATTTCACCTCACCTCACCTCACCTCACCTGTATAATATATATGTCACGACTGTATACATGTATATGAAGTGTGACAACCTCAAGACGTCAACTTGTTTATGATATGTGTCGATCTCAAACCGTATGCATACCTGTATGGTATATATGTAATCCTCAACACGTAAGTTAACATTTTATAATACATGGCGCCCCTAAACCTATACATACCGGTATATCATTTATGATGTGATCCCGTTTGGCACACCCTTTACATACAGGTAACTTCTCAATTGTCCACAACAACCTTTGTCAGGTTTTCACATATTGACTAATACCATTTGGATCACAACTTAACTCACTCTGAACGCTGTCGAATCATAAGAGACATAAAAAATATTTCAGCGCATTTTCAGTCTCAAAAAGAGTTCTAGTTCTAGTCTATCACAATCCCATACCACAAATGTAAGTGAAACCTTCATTAAAAGATTCATCACGTATTTGTTACTTAACGTAGTCACCACATATATATAGTCTGTCGTCAGTCGTCAGTCGTCAAGGAGTGAGTGAGTGAGTGAGTTTAGTTTTACGCCGCACTCAGCAATATTCCAGCTATATGGCGGCGGTCTGTAAATAATCGAGTCTGGAACAGGCAATCCAGTGATCAACAGCATGAGCATCGATCTGCGCAATTGGGAACCGATGACATGTGTCAACCAAGTCAGCGGGCCTGACCACCCGATCCAGTTAGTCGCCTTTTACGACAAGCATAGTCGCCTTTTATGACAAGAATGGGTTGCTGAAGACGTATTCTACCCCGGATCTTCACGGGTCAGTCGTCAAGGAAGAAACCAAATGCCTTCTGAAGTTTACTGAGAAAACAATAATTGTATAGTCTCTTTGCAGTGAAAACGAGTTTCAGATCGCCATTATTGGTTTGTATTACAAGGGGGTAAACGCAGTAGTTGGAAAAGTGAAACAAATGCACGTGCAACTTAGACCATCCCTAATTGTTCTCGGTGTTTCGTTTGATGCGCATACCCCCTTGTAACACAAACCAATAATAGCGATCTGAAACTATGATCGTTTGTTGAACAATTTTTATCCTATGTTGAATACAATTCTGAGATTTATATGTTCAGTTGGCAAGGTAAAATTGTCTTAATTTCACTCTATACGATTTACTGTCTAAAGTGAAATTCATCAGTACGTTTTCACTGCAAACAGACTATAGTCGGTAACAACTCCAAAGATAAATATGTTTCCATCATGTTCGTCTAAAACTAAAAACCGAAGTAACATGATTTTTGTATAGTATACAACGACGTGAAAACGTGTATGTATCATCCATTGAACTGCAGTTACACATATGGCAAATTGCCGTTTACACGTAAAACATATTGTCATTCTACCTACGTACTAGCAGACGTATTACATGCATGCTGCGGTATTAACTTCATACGTAACTGCAGTTACACATATGGCAAATTGCCGTTTACACGTAAAACATATTGTCATTCTACCTACATACTAGCAGACGTACTACATGCATGCTGCGGTATTAACTTCATACGTAACTGCAGTTACACATATGGCAAATTGCCGTTTACACGTAAAGAATATTGTCATTCTACCTACATACTAGCAGACGTATTACATGCATGCTGCGGTATTAACTTCATACGTAACTGCAGTTACACATATGGCAAATTGCCGTTTACACGTAAAGAATATTGTCATTCTACCTACGTACTAGCAGACGTATTACATGCATGCTGCGGTATTAACTTCATACGTAACTGCAGTTACACATATGGCAAATTGCCGTTTACACGTAAAAAATATTGTCATTCTACCTACATACTAGCAGACGTACTACATACATGCTGCGGTATTAACTTCATACGTGCACATATATACTCATGCCAATAATGGTTGTCACCCCCTCCCCACCCCAACCCCCACACACCTCACAACCCCACCCCACATCCCCTCTCCAATTAAAAAAAATGAAGGGGGTGACAACCATTATTGGCATGAGTATATAAAGTCAGCAGATATATTATCATCGACAGCCTATTAAGTGTGACGCTTGCATGACGAAATACACAAACCGGTTTCATTATTATCCAGTAAATCTCATGTAATGTCACAACTCACTCACTTACACTATTTTCACTCCATAAACACGCTTACACGTGTTACATAAAATACAATAAGCAAACAAAATGCAAAATAGCTTACCTAGCGGGTTAGATCCCTTCTAATTATATCTCCATGTATATAATGAATCTCCTTGTGGCGCCACTTGTTATTTTCGAGGGAATTCCCCATCGCTTAGGCTAAACATTTATGCCACATAGTAATCAGACCTATCCATACATACATAAAATGAGTCACTGATTTCACTTGGACCGCTTCTGAAAAAACTGTCAACGTCGCAGTCGGTGTTTCCTCTGCGAATGCTGTCATTGCGATGTAACCCACCAGGAGCGCCAAGGTCATCCGAGGGTTGGAAGCCTCCGTTCAGCACGTACAGAGGAATTCCTTATCGTGACGTCATTGCTCATTTCCGGGGTGCCGTGAGCGATAGCGATTATATTTATAAGTGCTTGTTTATGACCTGATAGAAATGACGGAGAGTTTAAATCAATCGATAAGCGTAATGTGTAATCGTACATCTATATTTATTCATATCATGATCAGTTCAAACATGCATATATTATCACAAAATAAAATAATTGCATTTTAGTGAAAAAAGGTTTCAAAAATAACGCTATAGACGTGCATTGAGGATTCGTAATTTTTGTCATGGTATATTTATCATTATTCTACCGATGAATATACGCTCTTAAAATATATTGTGCATACCGGTACTTGCTTGAAGTAATTAGTGGACCCATTTAGAAATTTCCTAAATATCAGGGTGCGATATGTTATATTAATTTATCTATTTTCATAATTACATTCCTATACCATCTGTTTTCCTATATACCCGGAGCCCATTCGACACCGAAAATTGGATTTGAAGCATAATATAGAATTGCTACCATACAACGCGCATGAGAAAGAAACGCGCAGGGGTGAGCGATAAGAAATCGAGAGATGCACGTAATGACGTCACTTCCTACACGAAGCCATGGATGTCAGGTATTTATACAAAAAGTGAGTGAAAAGAGTATACACTGGGTAACTGAGTCTGTTCTTCAGAATGACCATACATTCATACGTTTTCCTATTATTCATCTGGACCGCCTCCGTGGTGTAGTGGTTAGAGCGTCCGCCCGGAGAGCGGAAGGTCGCGGGTTCGATGCCCGACCGCGTCATACCATGGTACTTATTGGTCCCTGCCTGGCGCTTGGCATTAATGGGTACAACAAGGACTGGTCGGCTCGGAGTCAGTATAATGTGTCTGAGTTGGGTATTCATGGTTCACTGCGGCATGGTATCTCAGTGTGCTAGCACTATAAAACCAGCTTCAGTCTGGGCTAGTACAAGCAGCCGCACATACACATACACACGCATGCACGTCGTCATATGAGCGAAATATTTTCAAGCACGACGTTAAACCCAATTTCTCCTTACCTCACCTATTATTCATCTCATCACGTCTGTTGGAAGAATCAATAAATATAATCACCTTTAAAGATGTTGCTACTCTGATATTTTTACCTTCTTCGCAATTATCAACCAAACACTGAAACTGCGTAGAGGAATAGTACTTCTTAAGGACTCAAGATGTGTAATGAAGTTAAAAAGAGAAATATTCCATAGGTATTTATTTGAAATAATATAATTTTAGTCACTTGTAACAATACAATTTTAAAAACGTAAATTGTTGCTCATCTTACTTGTAGACTGTGTGGTTTGCTGTGGTATGCAGATCATCAATTGGGAAGGATCTCATTGTAAGCAAAATGTAATGGAACCAAGGTGTTTAACGTGAACCTGGGGAAAATCTGGTTTGAATACGGTTGCGGGACTG